CTTTCACTGACAATACTTATTAAAGATAATTTTAAGCGTGAAAACTGTCCTTATTTTGATGTCATGATATGTAAATTAAAAATTGTTATTTTACGGTGATAATCTTGTTTTCTTGTGCCCAATAATGCATAATTTCATTTGATAAACACGTTTAGATTGAATGGTAATTTATAATCAGTCATAAGAACGTCGAATCTGAATCACTTGAAAAAAACACGGGGGTGCTTAACTTTTTTCCTAGGTGTATATATATATATATATATAAACAACACCGCTTTTAGCAACAAAATTCGTGCAATTTTAAATGAGAGAAATAAAATGTTTATCGAAGTTTCATACATATTATCGTACATAGCACAACTGAAACATTTGAGGTAAGAAGACGTACATAATTAATTTCAATGGGGAGACTGAATCCAATGGTAAAGAGAGGTCAGAGTTGACAATTACTATTGCTCACCTAACAAGTAGAACATTTAAAGACGCACACTTACACTCGTACAGTTTTTAAATGGAAAATCAAATCCATCGATAGAACGAGATTAAAGTTGACAACTATTGTATTTCGTCTAATAACGTTGTAAATATACATAATTCATTGTTGTAAATCAAATCCATCGATAGAACGAGATCAAAGTTGACAACTATTGTATTTCGTCTAATAACGTTGTAAATATACATAATTCATTGTTGTATGTTAACACTTTTATTCGTCTATCAAAACATCGTATCGCGAGTCTATCTAGACCCCCTAGTGGCACAGCGGTATGTCTGCGGACTTACAATGCTAGAATCCAGGTTTCGATACCCGTGGTGGGCAGAGCACAGATAGCCCATTGTGTAGCTTTGTGCTTAATTACATACAATCGCGAGTCTATAAGTTTTTCCTTATGTTTCTTTTAGAATATCACCACATTGTGATTTGATCTGTTATTCTGCATACAGTGTGAAGACTTTAATCCCAATACATGTCGAAGCGTGGATTGCAGTAATTTATCAAATCAGATATAGCTGCCTTCTTGGGCATAGATAAAGTTAGGGATTAAGCTATTCATTAGAGATTAAGATTACATGAAACAACTATTAGTGAGAAAAAATAGCTATGATTAATTTTGTTTTACATAAAAGGGGTTAAAAGTGAATATGGGCCATTGCAAAAGTACACTTGTTACTGGTGAAAATGTCCATCATAAAATTGAAAATTAGCTCCCTCTATGTTTTGTAATATGTAAATTACTTCAAATTTAGCAACTTGACAGCATTATGTATAAACGAGACAAAAATATATATTTAATAATATTCAGATTTAGTATTACACATTATATTCTAAAACTTACATTTGGTTTCAAGTTTTTGAAATTTAGGTTATAAGTTACTGTTTAGAAAGGGTGGGGAAATCTGTACATCTAATATATTCATTCATGACATTAAAAAAACAAAAAAAAACGTAGGCTCCAGAATAACACAATCTTTTCAAACTGTCTTCCGAAGCGGTTAGTTAACGGAATTACAACGCTAAAACGCGGGATTCAATTCCCAGCGGTGAACTGAGTGCAAATAGCCAATTGTTTAGTTTTGAAATAAAAAACAACAGTTCTTAAAACTGCCTAAATAATTTCGAATTAGACAATACAAACTACATTCAGATTAATGGGCTCTAAAATGTCCCCAAGTTTACCTTTATAGATAGGATTGAAAAATCACATCCAAGAGAAAAGTCCCGTCAAACCATACTTATGGAAACGATACTTGAGGATATATTTTTTACGACTTCCATTCCTTTAAAGACTATTTTTCATACGCAAACGTTTTCCTTTAATCAACAAGATTCAAATTTGAATATTCATCGATACAAATACGTTTTCTCGATGTTACAATTCCTTTAAAAAAATGGCTTTACACGTATTGACTTGTACAAAAACCCCACAGACAGATCACTATGTTTTGCACTACCAAAGCCTATATATTGACTTGTACAAAAACCCCACAGACAAATCACTATGTTTTCCACTACCAAAGCTTATATATTGAATTTTACAAAAACCCCACAGACAAATCACTATGTTTTCCACTACCAAAGCCTATATATTGACTTGTACAAAAAGTCCACAGACAGATCACTTTCACTACCAAAGCAGTCATCCGGCCCATATCAAAAGAAGTATTACTTAAAGTACAGATCTTCACATGAAAAAGATCTGCATTTACAACAACGTTTACAAAACACGCACTGAAACGTTAAAATATCCATGAAAGAAAGATGTTATAAAGTTTCTGAAATAGAAAAACAATCTAAAAAGCTGACAAATTTCACGTGTTGTTGCTTAAAACCATTCTGATCCCCAAGCATTGTAACAGAGTTTCTCTGGTTATCACATATTATTCAAAACACAAAAAATGCTTCAAGAATCCTTAAAATAACATTTATATCCCAGTCAACATCTAAAGCAAAACTTCCGTGAAGCTTCTTTCCGTAAAAACAAACACCTTAGAAATATCTTTATTCACGCAAAAGTCAGTTATACCGTGCCCCAGTATGGTAGTTACTTTTGAAAAAAGCCCCACCCCCAGTGGCACAGCGGCATGTCTGCGGAGTTACAACGTGGTGGGCAGAGCACAGATAGAGCTTATTGTGTAGCCTTATGCCTAATTACAATCAACTCTTTGTAACAAAGTCCAATATCAGACTTGTTAATTTATAAATATCACTAGTACTTATCTGACTAATATGAAAACAAAACTGTGCATAATAAAACCAAGTTTTTGTGGCGAGCTCAAAACACGATATATTTTACAAAGTGCAAAAAAAACAACAAAAAACAACAATCATCAGTATACGGACAAAAGTCAAACTACACTTACAGGACAGGTTAATAACCACAAATTCTCTGTCAAGACTAATAAAAAGGCCTTCACATTACACTACACTTTAGCCAACTTGACCACTTGGTCAAGAGCATGTTTATCATTGGTATTGAAATTAGTTTTAAATCAAAAGCTGACAGAATAACTAAAACGTCTGGTCTGGATCGTATATATTGGTCGAAATTTTGACCTCATCCTCCCTTTTTTACGGTTTCTATTTTAAACTGACAAATGCTAGCGATAAATTCATGAAAACATGGCTAAATACACACTATGTTTAAAATACTGTTTCTTCTTCCCTCTCCAGGGCTATGTTCATGAATATAACACAATAGCATTTAGTACTT